AACACTCGTATAGCAATGATTCATTTTTTGGCTTCAAGAAAACATGTATTATCTCTTATGAATTGTCACTTTTTGAAGCTAAAATACATCTCCATGAATACGAAGCAAAAGAAATACAAAACATTACTGGGCTGAATCTTATTATTCCATTAAATACACACCACTTTTTCCTCTGAAACAATAAAAAACTGTCAATTGCGAGATACATAAGCCTGCAGAGAATTCCGTACATTACGTATATCATTTTATTTCTATTCATTAATAAAAATAATTTGTTTAGAAATATTAAATCGTCTTATGGCTTTCGCTATGTTTTCCTAAAACGTTGGGTAAGTACAAAATTATATTTTTAAAATGTTCCGTTTGCCGGAGACATACGTAAATGCCGAGAAGTTCCTCCAAATTGAGCAAAAGCTATGTTTTTGAGTCACCAAATTAAATAATTTTACCTTTACAATGAAAATGTTCCATCCATCCATGACTTTTTAAAACATTTTTTATGGAACAAAATGTTAACGGAACCCTATTCTGCTGAGTACGGCTACGTTTACACATGTTTTTCTGGATATAAAACACTTTTCATTACTAACTCTTAGATTTTTTGTGTAAGAACGTTCATCTAATGTAAATTCTAGAAATTTAGCTTCACGTATCAATTTGCATATTATAAATTGCGTTATTTGAATTTGTGGTGTGATAAAAATGCAGCACGTAATAAGGTACAGAAAAGTCTCTACTTATTAAAGCAATCGTAACATCATAGTAAGGTGTATAAGGTAAAAAATCTGTCCCTCAGATAATCAACAATACCGTCTAGTAAGTACTCATATTTTTTTTGTGATTGAATATGATTTCGAAGGTATGACTACGTTTTCAGTGGCACAAGCTAATTAAAATTTATGTGACAATCCTTAAATAAAAATCTCACCCAGTCTGTCCACAGCTTAGCCTTTTTCCCAGAAGACACCAAGAAAGAAAGCTGAAATAAGCGCCATGCATTCATGCCGCTACCACCAACATGTTGCGACGGGCGCTAGTTTTCTTACTCCTATCAGTTTTAATTCTAGATGTAGACAGAATAACATCTTTTAAGACTGTGCAGCAGTTCAAGAAACAGTTCAAGAAGGCAGAAAACGACGAGTTTAGTACATCAGATGTGTTGGTTGGGAAGGCGATGGATTTTATATACTCGAATAAAACAGTCATGAGTTTGATAGCTCGGGAACTGTGGGACGTGGGGTCAAGGGCGATCGACAGGATCGTGGAAATAAAAGGTCAGTATTGTTTAGTGTTTAAAATAAATTGATGGAGCTAAATTTAGTTGAAATATTTGTGCATTTAATAAAAAATACACGTACAAACGATAGCGATAGTAAAATATGAAATCACACATTTTGAGTGTATTAAAAATGGTGCATTTTTTTTTTCGCAAAAGTTTTGAATCTATTTTAAAATAAAGATTTATTATTTATTATTATTATTTTCCTTCTAAGTTCTATCATTATATTGATGTGATGCTACAAAGGAACGTTTTTGATTTGTAATTTATAAAGCAGAAGGAGTGTGTGTCCCTTCCATATACATAATTATCTAGATTTATATACACAACGAGCGCTGAACAACGGTGTCTAATTATAATGAAACGTCACACCACTCTTACGTCGTGTTACTGTCGTGCCATATTCTAAAGAGAGGATCCATTTTACAGAATTTTATTTCCATTTCAGGCAAGCAGCAGCAGCAACAGCAACTGCAGAAAAAATAACAAATCAAATTGTGTCTCCATCAATGACGACGAATTATTAGGATTTTAGCTTTTAAGCCAATAAATTATTAACCCTTAAATGCATGATTTTTTATTTAGTTATGAAAAAAATATTTCAATTAGATTTTTAGTCACAGATAAGGGGAAAAATAATAAAAAAAATCTTAGTACGAAAAAAAAGGATATTTTTGAAAATTAACAGTATGTAGCCAAATGTCTACACCATGCGTTTGTATGCCGTAAAATTGTTCTATGGTTTGTTTATTTGGCTTTTCTTTTCAGCATGTTTGGCTCGCTATCTGAAAAGGAAATTGAGGCAGCTCTTGCTGCTTTAAATGATGGTGCAGTCTCAGAAGATGATGACAATTTATATGATGATAACATCGATTATTACCCAAACGTACGGGATTTGTTGCATGATCGGGATGAGGAATCCATAGATCATAATCTACCCTTGGAACATAACGAAGACCCTGGAACATAACCCTCCCATAGTCTATGAAGAGGAGCATATATTAGATCAGATCTTCGTTATGTTCCAAGGGTAGATTATTATCTATGGACTCTTCATCCAGATCATGCAATAAATCCCGTACATTTGATTAAAAATCGATATTATCATCATCTAAATTTTCATCATCTTCTGAGACTGCACCATCATTTAAAGCAGCAAGAGCTGCCTCAATTTCCTTTTCAGATAGCGAGCCAAACATGCTGAAAAGAAAAGCCAAATAAGCAAACCATAGAACAATTTTATGGCATAAACGCATGGTGTAGACATTTGGCTACATACACAAAAATCAAGTCGAAGGCACATTCGAGATAGATTACCAAAAAATAAGTTATAATAATGAATTCTTACATTATTTCTAACACGTATGTATTTTTTTCCAATCGTTTTAGCAATTAATTCTCACTGAATCCGAAATTAAAATACCACAAATTTTAACACTACCAATTTTTTCTCTTTCGCAATCGCTACGTCAAATATCGGTTAATTTTTTTTCAAATCTACCTTCATTTGCGTTTTTTTTATTTTTATTATGATGTTTTCTATGATATTAGCATACGTTCAGAAACCCTTATAAAATATGTTACTTTTTATAATTAAAAAAGTATTTCGTAGACATATGGCAACACTATGCATTTAAGGGTTAAAACACGCGTCTTTGTTATTATTGACTTCCATAGAAAACAGAGATGTGTAAAAAGAAACTAAATTTAAGATTAAAGGCTAGAGTATGTAAGAAGCATTATCGTAACAACATTCTTAAAAGTATTCTTTGAAATCAAAGCAGCTGTAAACATATTACCTTGATCTTTTCACAAGCAACACTAAGGCGGTGCATCTGAGGTAGTGTATTGAATAATGGAGGAAAATATGATTGCACAAAATGGGCTGGAACAAACCGCTATTGTATTCGGGATGCGTCCCGGTTTGGATGTAGGAATGAAGTGGAGGTGGTATTTGGTTTACAATTTGATGGCCAGTTGATTGTGGTTAATTCGATAGACACTATGACATATTGTGTGGTTAGGTCTCGAATCCTGTGGAAGTAAATACTTCCTCTTGTAACTTACTCCTATAACTCCAGATTGACCGCCGATGAAATTCAACCAGTGAAGAATAAGTTTTTCCAAAGTCTTCTTCTTCTCCATTAAGGTTATTGTGTTTCTCTAAAGTCTTGAGTAGTGAGGCGAATGTTCTTAAAATGAACACAAATCACAAACTTATTTCCCTTTATCATCATATTAATTAGGCAATAAAAAATAGCATCTAAAAAGTCCAAAACCAGGTTTTTGTGATCTCACATAGCAAACGTTAGATTAGTATTATTTAAACTTCACAAAAAACAAATTATTATGCCACATCTATAATTTCTTAAATAAATGACCAATGCTCTTACTCGGATCTATTTATTATTGACTGCTGGTTAATAATGCGACAGATCTCGATAAAGGAGACAAATGTTTGTTATACTTAATGCACACATTGTTTTATGTAAACACAAATACAATTAGCTGGCTTGTAATCCTAATATCTGATGGTCGAGTAAGAAGGATTATAGAGACGTTTGTTGTACAGACCTTGAAAAAGTATAGGAAATACAACTATGGTCTAGGACCTAGACTCTAGGTGGACGAAAAATTAGAGAGGTTTCTTGACTGAATTTCTTCGCCTCTTTGCCTCACGGACACACTTTTATTTTTGTGTAAAATAAGTTTATATTTTTATTTTGTTAAGAGTTAAGTTTGCCTTAGTTTTAAACAAATTCTGTTTCTTGACTTGTAATAATAACACAATGTAATTTGTTCCTAGTATGGTGAAGTTATAGTTGAATTAGGGCTCGTTTCCATGGAAATCCACTTTGCTTAAAATTCGAATCACAAATTGAAATGGATTGGATTTTTGCGGGATACTGCTAACGAGATGTTGTGTAAACGCTTAATAATAACAATCAAAATACAATCAAAGTAGCCCCAATTTTGAACAAAATTAAAACACACCTACTTATTGCTTACTAAAATATTTTTGTGCGTTCCGATTGATGCAACTTGACCACATAAACAAAGGGTGAAAGTGTGGTTTGTTCATGGCAAATTAGCAAAGAGGATTAGTGGCTCACCCACGGCTTTGGTTACTGTAATCGATTGACATGCTTAGTGACTGCTTGGGCAGTAAAATAAACGTTATACACCATAAAAAAGTAACTTCAACGTTTCAGTAAGTTTGAAGATTTTCTTGAAAGTATCCGCTAGGGACGCTGTACAATCCGTCATACATTTAATGTCATTTTTTTACGCAGTCGATATCGAATACGTTTAATGTTAACTCACACTAAGCCCCCTGTTTACATTTACTCCTGAAAAGTAAGACGGACTTATTTTTATCAGCCATAATTAATTCACAAAAATCGCCTCCTCACAAGTCTCTCAAATATAAATAAGTGTATGTACCTTTACATGTGTTACGTAAAATATAAGCTGCTGTTCAAGACGGCCGGTCACATTAAGAAAACGACACAATGTGGTCTCTTTTCCCAGAACAAGCAAACTGAGCGAGCAAACACTATCTTGTAAACACCAGACATGGAAGAGTCACTTGTTTCCTAATATACGTTTGTTTGCGCCACCGTCAAAAGAACAATCGCGAAGTTTGCTAAATGTTTTCAGATGAACACCCATTAATATCTCATTTTCGAGAACTCTACATCAGTTCGTTCAAAAACTCGAAATGATTGAGTCAAGGAATTTTCAAGCAGTTCTATTCTTCTTTCTCATAGTCATAGTGTTAGAAGGAGATTCAAGAAGACCGCGTTTGAAAGAAGAGAAACAGAGTGAAAGGAGAGACTATAGGCCTTCGAAGTGGGTGGCTAATTCCGCTATGGATGTATGGTACGGAAATAAAAGCATGGTAGATATTCTGTCAAGGGAATTCAGTGATGTTATGAACAGGATAGCTTTAAGACCAGGTAAACATTACATCAATGTTTTTATGCTGTGTTACATAACATTTTTTGTATCCTCCAAACACTATTTCGAAAGTCTAAGGGTGGGTTGCACCATATTACTTTGTCAGTAACAAACGTCAAAAATCTCTCAAACTCCATACAAAATGCACCGGTTTTCGTCATAGTCACCGTTAAAGTTAGGTGGTGCAACTCAGCCTAAATATTTCAAAGGCTCGTTCATATTTCTACGTTTTTAAATAGCTAAGAATGATTTTGACTCCTAGTAGTGTAAGTAAATTAATTTAAAATTAAAATGCCCTTTGTCATAATTAATTACATTTTAGTGATAATTAAGAAAAAAATCTTACCTTTTAACGAATAGTAACATTTTGATTTAAATTCGATATAGCTGTTTTTTTATAGTGGTGCTATATTCTGTGATACTGTAATTTAGAATATAAGAATTCATAACCATAAAATACATTAATTTATTGTATTTCAGTTCGCTCAGCCGTGCCAACAGAAGAAATTAACTCGGACGTTTCAAAACTTACCGAGTCGGAAGAGGACAAAAATGAATTGAACCAAGATGCCTTAAAACTCACAGAAAAACCACGAGCCAAAAATGTAAAATCAAAGGGGTTTAATGCTAAGCATAAACCAATCAAAAAAGAATTAAACAACACCAACGGAAAACGAAATGATCAAGTTCTGGTAGAACAAGTCAGAAAAATCTTATTGCGAAATATCAACGATACCATTTCAAAAGTTATATCTGACTACTATCTCAAACACTAAAATTATATTAAATTTTTGTTCTTACTCGTATTTTTGTGTGTTATTAACAATTTTTTTAATAAACTTCTTGATATTGAATTTCTAATATTTATTATTAGTTACATAACTTCACTTCATTGCATTAGCTCCTCCATATTGATTAACCCTTCATGTACCAGCATATCGAGACAACAGAAATCAATTGTTACCGCGGTCTCATGAGACCACTTAAGGTTACACGAAATAATATCCCGTGGAACAGTATATTAAAATACTTTTATTGTCCATGCTTGAATTTAATACCTATTTTTTATTTAATTATGCTGGTAAAATAAACATGATTAAAAGTATTATTGCTTTTAAAAAACTATTACATTAAAATATGATGTATTTTCGTAAAACGTGTTTCAATTAAGACACAAGTCAGTAATCTCCTTTAATCTCTGCGATTTGTATGACGACTCCTGGAATTGGTTCCAAAAGCCACTAAGAAAAGGCATAGAAAAGCGGCTTGCCGGTAATTAAAAATTTCAAAGGAGTGCGCCTTTTGTACTCACCCCGTATCGTATAGGTAACAATTGTATTAATCCCCGATTCTCAATTAGGAACGGATTCTGTGAATTTGAATACCTCTCTCAGCTTTGATGTTCACAACAAAGACGTGTTGAAGAAAAGATGGCACCAGAAGCCGCAAATTCTTCCCTTTTGAAGACTAATAAATAATTTTGGAGTCCCCTTTGAGGGTTAGATACTTTGATGTTGAAAAAGCCACTTCATAAGTGCACGCACTCTGGCCGTATTATTAGGCAGTTAGGGTGGCTGCCTTGGGGCGATACAATGGGTATGAATTTTAAATGACGTTAAGATAGGTTGGCCGAAATCGGCACTGCTAATGGGTGTTTAGGTGTTTGGGAGGATGGACGCGTTTCACTAATTTGGGGGTACAACTCTGGTATAGTTCCAGCCTGTACGGTCCTTCGTCGAAGTTTATTTTGACGACTGTTTGTGGTTGTGAGACAAAGGCTGAGTTGCACCACCTTACTTTAACAGTAACTATGACGATAACCGGTGTGTTTTGTATGGAGTTTGACAGATTTTTGACGTTTGTCAATGTAAGATGGTGCCAAAAGTCAGCGATCAGAAGTTTGACTCTCTCAAAAGAAAAATGTTCGTGTAAGAAGTGTTAGCGTATTTTCTTGAATTATGAGTCATTTTATGTTTGTTTAACAGTTTTATTTAGTTCCCCTTTGAATTTAAAAAATAAAATATTAATTACACAATTTCGCTGCTCGAATAGGGTTTCTGCTCGAGCTTTCTCGAACTCGAGAAAACTCGAGAATTTTGGCCTCATTCGAGACGAGAAAAAAATTACCGGGGCTCGAGAATTCTCGAGTTTCGATTTTTAAACTTTAATATTCTCGAAAGCCTATTTGTCTTAGACAAAAGTAAGTTTTTATTTATTTAATAGGTTAACGTTGCTTTTAGACTGGCCTAGTCTTTCCTTTTTTAACTGATTTGATTTGCAAGTAATGATTTCAATCGAAACTAAGTAATAATGTTCACCAACGAGTATGCTACATTTAATATGTAGGTATGTTTAACTCTGACTGATTTAAAGACTGAAAAATTTGTTATATAACTGTAGGTTAGGTAGTCGTGCCTCCTCGTAAAGTTTATTCAAGTCGTTATCTTTAAAAAAATATTAAAAAGTTTTGTTTTGTTTATTAAAAAAAACTATTTATCGTAATTTTGCTATTTGGACTTGTGTTCTTTGGAAAACAAGTGATTCAGTTGTAGCTCCAGATTTTTATTGTTATTTATCCTTAAAGTACACGCGACTTTATGGCTTTTGTTATGATTATTAGTTAATATTAATTATGAAAGAAGATTTTATTTTTTGTTTCTTTCCTTACCAAAATAAGTGGTACTAAATTCTAATATTGATTGTTGTGCAATAAGAGTAGGTATATTAGATTAAAAAACCTGTGTCTTTATTAAATTTCAACCGATTTTAACAGTTTTCATTAAAAGACTCGAGACCCGAGAAAACTCGAGACTTTGGACTCGAGAATTCTCGAAACTCGAGAAAAAAAATAGGTCGAGAAATCAGAAACCCTATGCTCGAACTATTCGCTTCATGTAACTTAGTCCTTTCCTTTGTAATCCCCGATTAGTATTTCCATCGCAATTCCGAGCTTATTCCGAAACAAGTCCAAATCCCGATCCCGATTTTTCAATCCCCAACACAGGCTGTAGAGTCCGCTTCAAATATCAAAGACAACGGCTGAGCCAAAACGCTCAGTACCTGCGCTTTGTTGTCAAGTGTGCTCATTAAAGGCCTACCCTCTCTGCGAAAAATCCCATTCGGAACGCTGACGCACTCGAGCTACGAGCTCAAATAAGGCTGAACTCGACTTCGTAATTAATTCTTGGTCTCGCCTTGTTTGCAGTTCAAATCGGCAATTGAAAACTGTCACCTCTAGACTTTTATTCGTGCTAATTAACTTGACTTTGGACTGAAAGGGGAAGGAGTTGAGGCGTCAGTGCTGAGATAATTAAGATTGTGCTTAAGTTTATGAGTTGAGAGTACAATCTGAAACATAATTGATAAAATTCGTAGTCGTCAATTGGTGATCTTCTTATTATTGTATCGTGAAGGTACACTTGAATAAGTCACTGATTTCCATTGGGAGCAAGTAGCTCATTCGGAACTCAAAAGGTCAGAATCATCGAGGTACTTAGGTGAAAGCGAATAATCGGTTTTAGAATGACTTTACATGCAATCATTTTAATATTCAAGCATATAAACTACTATAACATGCTACAGGCAGTGGGCGGGGCACATAGCTCGTAGAGCTGATGGCCGCTGGGGCAGGAAAGTTCTTGAGTGGCGACCACGAGTCGGAAGACGTAGCGTGGGCAGGCCTCCCATTAGGTGGACCGACGATCTGGTGAAGGTCGCGGGAGGTGCCTGGATACGAGCGGCGCAGGATCGGTCTTCGTGGAAATCCTTGGGGGAGTTGAGCCTTTGTCCAGCAGTGGACGTCTTTCGGCTGAAACGAACGAACATGCTACAAGGAACCATATTTTAATACTAAGCTTCTCCTATACGAGTAGATACTTATCTATATCTTCTCTCTTTTGCAAACAAATCAAGATATTATACAAAAATAGATCAAGTGAAGCATTCGAACAAACCGGGGGCTGCAACAAAGCAATTTGTAATAAAGCAAGCACAAAACTGGGCGTGGGAGAAAATCAGTGTCAGCCGAGCGGAGTGCAACGGCTTAGGTTTATTTTAATGTTATTGCGGTATCATCCAACTGTACACCACCTGCGCTTGATACGGAGAAAACACACGGATCTGTATTGTGACGAGCAAATTATTTTGATTCTTGTTCAAAATACTACTTGTTACTATCTCAGCTTGACCTGTAGTTGACTGGTAGAGAATGCCATCCGGCATTAAGTCCGCCACTGTTTAGTATTTATGTGAAACAAGTATGAATAAATAAAAGAATCGAGATTGATTAAACAATGGTGTTATGCCCTACAATGTGTAAGAAAATGATTTGGTGATGGCAGTCACCAAAACGATATTTTAACACTAGAAGTGCCGAAGATTACGACCCCCCTAAAAGCGCCGCTGGGTCAATTTTGTCCCAGCATATATTTTGTAACATTTTTTAGTTTCAGGCATGATTATTATGGTTTAAACTATTTGTAGTATTCTTAAAAAATGGTTTATCTATATAGTTAAGTCAATATGTGCTTATTTCTTTAAAAATATAAATGTATTCAATTTTAATTTTGAATTATTAAAAGACAGATATTTTAGGTGTTATACTGTATTAAAATTATGAAATTACCACTTATTATTCATTATTATTTTTGAAGGAATAATAAATATCTTACAAATAATAGTGCACATTTTGCACAAAGTTTTTTTGTATGGTTTTTTTCGCCTCTCTGGTGTACTATGTGTTTAGGAATTTCTATAGGTATGGTTATTTTTCTGTTATCCGTACACACACAGTGAGGTTTTTTAACAATTACAATGAAAAGTATGTACGTTTAATTTAAAAAAAAATATAAGTCACACATTTTAAAAATGTATCAAATCATACAATTTATGAACTGGCCCATGTCTAGAAGTCACCTTCCTACTAATATTATAAATGTAAAAGTTAATAAAGATTGATGAATTGAAGGATGGATGAACCGATGAACGGATAGGAAGGATGAATGGGTGGATATAAGCCTTGAACTTGAACTAAGCGAGTGTAGATTCATGGTTAGATCGATTGTTGTTTTTTCACTCTTTTACGCAAAAAATACTAAGCCGATCTTAATAAAACTTTGCAGTTTTATTGTTAATACTTCAGAATAACATAATATAGTCTATAATTTACAATAATATTCAGTTATTTGGTCAAATAACAACGATAAGTATCAAGAAATTAGGTCTTTCAATGATAAACTTAATTTCTCACTAGGTAAAGTCACAGGCAAAAACTAGTACAATATATTTACATTTCTGCATTGTGACAAGTCTCCTAAACGTTCCCCAACCTCTCCATTCTCGTATCTCCCCGAAACAAGGACTCTTCATCGAATTATTGTTGCAAATACCAGGGTGGGACAAAAATGACCCAGTGGCGCTTCAAGGTAAAACCGATTTTTCAAATTTTTGTAATAATTTTATACTATCGAAAACATTAAAAAATGATAAAATTCAATAAATCAGGAAAAGTCAAAAAGTTTCATGGACTTTCGTTGAAAAATAAAAAAGTTAGAGACGATCAAACTCGCGAGTGGGACAAAAATGGGACGGCGGCCTTTCTAGTGTTAATTTAAAATCAGACTAGGTATTTTGTAAGTGGAGGTGTGTGACAAGAAAGACAACTTAATGTGTACATCTTTCAGTCCATGAAAATTATTTAATAAACGATGAGAAATAAACAAGATTGTCCTCCTATTGGTGCACAGCTACAAATATGAGCATATTTAATCAAATTATA